CCCCCCCCCCCCCCCATCGACGGAAGTTGGCCACGCTGCAATCCCTTCTCCTCTCAGGATCTTGGGCACACACGCACACATGCCTAGTGTGAATTTTAAGCCACCAGGTCCAGCACTCAAACCGCGGTCAACTACATGGGAGTCCAGCGACATAGCCATTACGCTAACTGCTGGTCCCAAGATGCAATATACTCTTAACCCTAAAACTCATATTTAAAAAAATAGCAGCCTTATAGAGAACTTTAATATTTGGATATTCTAAACTATAGAATTTTAAAAAACTTTCCGATCCATGTTCAAGAAGAAAATAACTGTAATTTGGACAGTTGCAGTATCCTAGAGCAGTCCTTCCTAGTCTTAGCAACACATTACAGTCACCTGTGGAGCTTTTAAAAAGGGACCCACCCAGACCAGTTACATCAGAATCTCTAGAGAGGACAGGATGTCAGTAATCTTTTACAGGTTCCCTAGATGATTCTCATGTGCATCCAAGTTGAGAACCACTGCCTTACAGCAAAATTAAAAAAAAAAAAAAAAAAAAAAAATTTAAGCCATCTTTTTTGCATAACAGACCATGGAAAGGATAAAGCCCACATACTGAACCAAATGAGAGTTTTAACAGTAGATTCTAAGTAGAAAATTGGCTTACCAAGCAGCTAGGGAAAAAAAAAAGAAAACAAAGGAAACATAGAAATAAGCTCTCTGTGACTGAATTATCTGCTTTTCAGAAGAGAAACATTTTTAATTTGTTTTATGGATATTAGAAAACTGCTGGTCTAATTTCACACCACAGAGCTCTAAACAACAGTCCATATCTTAATTAGAAGTACAGAGCAGGAGAGTTACGTAGGCTAAGACAAAAATTTCTTTAGAAAAATATACAATAGATAGTACAGAAAAGGACATTTTTATCAGTAAGTTTATTTTAAAATATCTTTTAATGCTGTGAGTATGGATTATCATATATAATATGTTAGTTGTTTTCATTTAAATTTCCACATACTTTTTCTTTTTTTTTCTTTTCCCTCTTTATTCATATAGATTGTGTGCACATATGAAAGAGAGAGGAAGAAAAAGAGAAAAGCACCCTCCACAGAGTTGGTCATGGTCTGATCTCCTTCTATCAGTCCTTCAGCTCATTGGATATCAGGCACTTACGCTCACGCGTGGCATGTTCTGACTAACTGGGTAGGGGATTTGAACTGCCGTCACCATGTGAGATCCACCATGTGAGATCCTGCTTCTCTTGAGCAGTGCATTATGAGAGCTGTGTCACGGAGCTGTGTCACAGAGCTCTCTCTCCACATATTCTTCATACTTCCTTTTAGAACGTTACTATAATAACTATTTTATTCCTTCACTTTGTCAATAATGTGCTATCTACAACTTATTCTTCCCTTACTTTTGTATTTAAACAGACATTTTAATTTTTTTAATATTTGGATTTGATAATACTTTAAGAGAATGGTGGTAATTTCACAATATCTTATGAAAGATCACCTAAATTTGTTTGTCAAATTAATAAAATAAAAATAACATACAAACAGGGGTATTAAACATTAAAACTTGTTGTCAGGGTTAGGGAAGTATAACTTCAAGATTATTTTTTTCTCATAAGAATAAACACATTTTTTGCAGTAATTTTCAGTAGTAGTAACTGATGGAAATGTAATAGATGTGACCAACTGTTAATATAGTATAATTTGACAAAGGAGTCATTCAGAAAGCATTATAAATGCTTTCAACTGAAGAGCCAAAATATGTAAGAAATATCTCTTTCAAAGAAATGCATGTACTGCGTATGTACTGTGTTAGCTTTTAGCCCAGTAACAAAGATATTCTATTTTAAGGATACAGTTTTTAAAAAGTCTATTTTATAGTAAAACACACATAAAGAAACCACACAAATATATAGTTTAATGAGCTATTATAAGGGAAACATCCCTAGAACCACCACCTGAGTCCAGATATTAAAGTTTGCAGGCACCTGGAAGGACATACATGCACGCTGTTACAATCTTAACTTCTTCCTTGTCCCTCAAAGTAACTGCCATTTTGACTTTTAATCACTTTCTCATATACTCACACAGTATTTATCATCTAGGAGGGCATCCCCAGACACCATAGTTTAATATTCATTTAGAATATTTTAATATATATTTTAAATATTGTTTAATCTACAAGTTCTATCCATCCCATTCCTATCCTTAAAACGTATGCTTTAAAACTACAGTGTTGGAGCCTGTGAACAGCAGATGGTATGATGGTTACATTGTTAGACTCCCACACAGCCGACTGCAGTTTGAGTCCCAGACTTAGGGTCTTGAAACTTACACCAAGCCGGTGTGTGTGCTTGTCCAAAATCTAAAGAGAATGGAGGAGAAGGAATTACAGCATGGCCATCCCCTGGGTGTGTGTGTTGGGGGGTGGTCTCTCAACTTTCTGTTTCTTTGTCTTTCCATCTAGTGTACACACCCTATAGCAAAAATCTCTCTTAGAAAACAAAAACAAAACAAAAACTGTGGTATCAGGGCCAGCAGGGAGCATGGGCTCCTACATGGCTGACCCCAGTTTGAGTCTCAGACCTGGTGGCTTACTTTCTC